TTGTTCAACCTCACTGAGTGACGTCGCGTCCGTACACTTCAGGCGCTCATCAATTTCCATGAAACCACCGCCTGCTTAAACAGCCATCTAAGCTGCTAGAAGCAAATAAACGGCGCGAATATGTCATAAAATTTCGGAGGTGATTCTCGACACGAAAATAATGTTTCTCTGTTAATATTGGTGCCGATTCCTTCTGTTCTATAAAGCCATTTCAAGTCGTACGCAGGGCTTGTGATCGACCGCCACTGTTTCTAGATTAAACACCGTTTTCGACACGTCTGCGGCTCGTTACTAGCGAACGTGACAGACGTGTGTTACTGTTAATGCCGCGGCCGGACTTCGGCATATTTCAACGCGTCAGAGTTAGCGGAAACCAACTGTTTGAAGATCTCTACACCTGACGCCAAGCATCGATTTGAGTTGGCGAACTCCGTTTTGCTGCCCGTGTTGTTGGTGTCCTCATTGTGTAGGAGGTCGGAGTTTAGTCGAGGCGTTGTACAACTGCCGGTGAGCGAGTTTGCCACGTTGGCCATTCACGTTGAATGCAATGCAATTTGCCGTGACGTTTTGCTTGGCGTTTACCTTCCTACACTCATTCCTTGAGTGCCGAGTGACTTCCTTGCGCCAACCGAGGTACGTTTTCAAGCGTGGCCGATTTCGAAACGCTTTAACGGGTTTCGAGCCACAGGCCGTAAGCCGTGCGAAGAATTTGCCCAGCGATTCTCATGTGAAGCTGCAATGGATCACGCAGAAACTGGACCACTTCGACCCGACAAACAACGAGACTTGGCAGCAGGTACGTTTCGGTGTCTACGTGTTCTTAATCGAAGGTTATGTTATCTGACCAAAAGTCTTGTTTACGTGAAGTATGCAGAAGATATTGTTCTGGCGGGTAGTATGGAAGTGGCATTCGTCAAGTGATGGTGCAGTGTTCAACACGTCTACCGAGACCGACCTCCTTCTTAACACCCGGAAGCATAGCGTTTTGAGGAACCCATCTGAAACAGCAGATCTCCAAGTGGAATACGAAGGTGAAACACTACAGTATGTTGCCCAATTTAAGAATCTCCAGAGATGACACAGTGAAATCAGGATAAGAGAATCGTCCCTCCTTCCAGTGCTTTCGGTAACCTGTTCAATGTTTTGACGGAGAAAGAAGTACCCATATTCACAACAATCCACCTGTAGCTTGTCTTGTTCAGATAGGTGTTAAATTACGGCATTAAAATCGTCGTTCTATCAAAGGACCAAGAACCATCATTGAGGAGCGTAGAGCAGTATTTGCTTCGACGGCTGTCGACACCTAATGAAGTTTAAATGGTAAGACGAGATAAAGAGTAATCCAGTTCTCTTCCAAACAGAGGTGTTCTGAATTGACGTGGAGATTAAGGAAATGAGATTGACCTCCGTTAAAAAAACCTGCTGACTGTAAATGTTTACTCCTGCCCCTGGAACTTTCACGAGAGGATCGAAACACCGCAGACGTCGAAGAGGAAGTCAGTATGCAGCATTGACACCAATGCAAAGACGGACCCAAGCTCCTAGGTAATTTGTTCCTTCTACGAGTCAGTAACCGATGCCTTACTGAAAGTCTGAAAATACAGCTGAATCACAAACCAGAGACGATCTGCTTTCGCAAACAGCTTAAGGTGATGATCTCATCAAACTCAACACACACGTTATTGCGACCTGTCAAAAACGAATAGGCACGTAGGTGTGTGGTGCCACAGAGTAGATGACCAGTCCGACTATGAAATCGCAACGGCCGAACTGCGAAATCCGTAGTAGGCTGCTTTGTGGATGGTCTTTGTGTTGCTTCCACTTAACTAATGGCTTAAACAACGCTTCTCCTATGTAGCTGGCTTCGACGGTTTCTGGGTCTACGCTTTAATGGTAGATGCTAGCATGGGTATTGTTTTGCGGGAATCGCGCTGGTATCGCCTCCCCCTTCCCAGATGCCTTAAGCGACATGCAGGCAGGCTATTTTGAGAATATGATGATAATTGAATACACGAATATACTAATAGTATACGTGATCATTGCGTATTTGTTGTATTAATCAGCAACGAGCAATCTCAAGCGAGTTACCTCACTTGTAAGCTGACCGTGAATGCAAGGTGACGCTTCTACACTAACCTGTTTGGTTCTTGCAACCTGCATCAATCGCTGGCTAAGCAATTTGATCATCGAGACGTTCTAGCATGCTTTTTAGTCATGGATGGGACTTTTATGAACAACATGCAATAATTAGTACATAGCTGAGGCGACATATCGAATAGATTCGGTGTCAGCAGTCTAATTGATTTTGATATTCAACTCTATTTACCTTATATGACAATTACAACAACAGTTGTTTTGTGGAAACGATGGAATAACCCAAAAACAGCTTTACGGTATATGATGGTCTGGACGGTGGTAAATAGATGCCGTCGTTTCGGTCAGTATATCATAGGCCTTCTTGAAGGTACTGGTGATGGCAATTTTTGAATGCTTTGGAGGTCGTATGCAACAGGTGGTTCCTCTGGAGCCAAACGCCCCCTTGTTTACCTACTGCTTTTGAGTATGACTGCAAATGCACGACGAGAATACTACATCTTTGAGCCATTTCTTTTCATGCAGCAATTTAATGAATATTATCTTTATCCTTACGTAACGTTACACTTTTCACCGAGAAAAAGACAAAAATCCCAATCCTCTATTCGTTTGCATTCCCCGGTTATCTGCTGCTGAGCGGGTCGGTAATACCTGTCACCGTTTAAAGGTAGGAATCTTTGGACCTCGAGCAATCCCTTCCTGGGTCTACGGCTACTCTCCAGCCAAGGTAATCTACCCGCGTTCCTTTCCGTTATAGATTAAATAAATGGTGGGCAATTAGCAAGTTAATAACTTGTATTCACAGCGCTGCTGGACAAACGAAGAGTTCTATGAACCTGGTGGACCACAGTTTCTGCTCATTGGAGGGGAATACGAAGCGACTCCAGATCGAATCGCCGGCGGTTAGTGAACAAGTTTAATACGACGCGAATGATTTATACTTGTCTAACATAGAGAATGGATTTAACTGGATTCAGCAGGCCAAACGCTTCAGAGCCGCATGTTTCTACCTGGAGCACCGCTACTACGGTGAAAGTCGTCCTAAGCCGTAATTCTTTTTTTTTGTTTATAGATAATTTCTAATGTACGCTTAACCTCGTCGAAATCTCGGTACTGAAACTATTATGACACTCTAACAGTCTGAAGTGTAGCTACAAATATATGCAATAGCATGAATGAACATGCCATTAGAGAAAATGAATCTAAACATTTACATTTTATCAGAAAAAATTGCCATCACAAAGGCTCCATTTAAGAAAAGAGAACAATGGTACATTCTAGATGGTATCAACTGATGTTTCTCATGCTTAGACATAACAGAAAACGAGAAATAGAAACAAAAACAAAACAAAATGGAACAAATACAGGATGACTCATCATCATCAGCCTTATTCGATTCACTGCTGGATGCCTTTCCAAGATTTCTGTTTTCTGCCGTTTTTATCCATCTCGATCCTGTGAATGTCTTCAGCTCATCTTTCCATCGAATTGAGGATTTTCCTCTCTGCCGCCGTTTGCTCTCTTTTGGAACCAGTTCTAACGTTTTCTGGTTTAGCAATGGCTATTTCTTCTAGCAGCGTGTCCTGCATATCGTCTCGCTAACTTCTTCACTTGGGCAACGGCTTTGCAGACTCCTGCTTGTGCTCTTTTTCTTTCATACGTCTTCCTATCTTTTCTCGTCATTTCCAACAAACGTTATGCTGGGTTGCGAGCTTGCAGCTTATGGACAGCTTTTGAGTTTAAGGTTTACACTCGCGCCCATAGGTTAGCACTGGGAAAACACAATGATCGAATACTTTCCATTTCAAACAATGAGAGTTTCCCCGATAAGAACGGTTTCAATCTTCCAAAAGTTCTTCAGATCAGATTTATTCTTCTGTCGATTTGCCGTTGCAAAGATGAACTGTTCCAGGAACGAATTAATCAACCAAAAGAGAGTTTAATTCTCAAATTAATGGAAATAGCACGTAAAACTGGCCCCGACTAATTTTTCAGAAATATGCATATAATGCTTAAATAAAACTCCGCCATGGCCGGTCCCAAGCCCGGATGAGAAAGGAGGAGGGTTGGAGACCGTGGCAAG